TATATTACTAATTACATAGAAACTGTACACACACATATTTTCGAGCTGTAGAAATCCCCGTCCAATAAATACTATATATAATCTCTTTATTTACCGGTCACATACGCATACGGGATGGTTGGCGGATATGAGACCATCGTGTTTGGGTTAGGGTTAGGCGAGGGTTAGGGTAAGGGTGAGGTTTAGGGTTAGGGTTTGGGTTAGGGTTAGGGTTAGGTGAGGGTTAGGGTTAGGGGTAAGGGTGAGGAGGTGAGGGCTACGGTTAGGGTTACGGTTAGGGTTAGGTGAGGGTCGGGGTGGGGGTGATGGTGAGGGTGAGGTTGAGGGTTAGGGTTAGGGTTAGGGTTAGGTGAGGGTGAGTGTGGGGGTGAGGGTGAGGGTGAGGGTGAGGGTGAGGTTGAGGGTTGGGGTTAGGATTAGGGGAGGGTGAGGTTGAGGGTTAGGGTTAGGTTTAGGGTTAGGGTGAGGGTGAAGGTGAGGGTGAAGAAAAAATATTTTGTTCAAATAACAGAAGATTGTGACCGATTTTGGTAGCTTGACGAGTGTGTGGATGGAGTAGATTTTTTTGCACTTTGCGATTATTAGGACACGACTGAAATTCAGGTATTATTAAAGTAAAAAAATTTTAATTTATTGTTTGAATTTCTTTATTGTTTTGATTTGACATTGTTTTGCAGACTTAAGCTGAAATAGCAAGGATTAACCGCAACGCGACCCGTAGTTATGAGCATCACGGGGGCTCTAGGTCCTTCAGCCAGCATTATTATCATTTGGAGCTTGAGGTATATAATATATTAGCTTTTAAGTTATTGATTTGAGTATAATTTGTGTGTTATGTATTAATGATATATTTGAATAAAATAGGGAAGGGGAGATCTAGGACATTTTGCAGATTGTATTCTGACTTCCTGGTGCCTGAATTACGCCGATGAAGAGAAGAAAGCGAAGAACCAGGATCTGGCTGTAAATAGCAGTTCATTTGTATATTCAATTTCATAACAATACATCATTAATAAGTCAACTTGCCCGGGTTGTTTTGATTTATTGCAGGAGAAATTACATGCTAAGTTACATGAGCAAATGTCTCAGTCTCAGGTCGGTTCTAGCACTCTGGCCCGGCTAGTAGCACCTACGAGTCTGCAACACCACCAACAACACCAAGAAGCAGTTCATATCAAGACTTGATGGAGCAGTGGTTGAAAGTAATTGAAGATTAGCAGTCGCAGCAAACAATATATCAGCGGATTATAGAGGAAGAACGGAGGCGCCGGGAGCAGAGAGAATTGGAGTTCACACAGTTCATGTCGACTCAGTCTCAGGAGGCTCAGGAGGCATATAGGAGACGATTTATGGTAGATCAGGTAATATATATACTTTACTTTTTTAAATTAAATGAATTAAATATATAATTCTTACTTAGTTATGAATATGCCATGTGACTAAATGATATCACACACACCGATAAACACTGTTACATACAAACCCTAACTCTAACCCTAACACAAAGCCCAAAATATATACGTATAATATTTTTATGTGATGGTGGTGTTGATGGTGCATGCATGCATAGTGATGGTGGTATTGGTTGGTGAATTGGTTAGTTGGTTGTGGTTGTGTTGTTGTGGTGTGTGCGTGCGTAGGGTTGGTTGTATGATCGGTTGGTGGGTGGTTTGGTTGTGGTGGGGGAGGGGAAGGAGTGAGGATTTGGTGATGGTGGTGGTGATGGAGGGGGAGGGGGTGGGGGTTGAGTGTGGTTGGGTTGTGCTTAGGTGGTGCGGATTTGGTGTGTGTACGAGTGCGTGCGTGTACATAAGAATATGTGCGTGCACATAAGAATATGTGCGTGCGTATAATACATAAGAATATGTCATGATACTCTCTTCGAAACATATAATACATAAGAATATGTCATGATACTCTCTTCAAAACATATAATACATAAGAATATGTCATGATACTCTCTTATTGTTATACTTGCAAGTCATGCCATGTTGTTAACGTTTGATTTATATTTGCAGTTCTGGACTTCTAGATAAGGTGGAGCTGGTGATGAGGATGATGATGATGATGATGATCAGGAGGATTGATTTGTTTTTTACCTTTGAAAACAATGAGTGTGTGCTGTATAAACAATATTTACATAGTGTGTGTTGTATAAACAATTTTAATTATGTTGGAATATTTTTATTAAAATATATGTGTTATATATGCGTTGGAATGAATATTATACTGCTGATTGAACAAGGTTTTAAATTTATTATATTATTGTACATGTTTTTTCAATTTTCAAAATAATTTTTAAAAAAATATTAGAAATATTTAGCCACGGATTAGTCGTCGCTATAGACCATTTTAGCGACGGAAAATCCGTCGCTACTGTTACTTTTAGCGACGAATTTTCCGTCGCTAATAATTTTTTTCTTTTTTTGAAAAAATAGAACGACGGATTTTCTATTGCTAATTTTTCGTCGCTGACTTTTAGCAACGGAAAATCCGTCGCTAAAAGTGATTTTAGCTACCCTCAATGTACGGACAGTATTTTAGCGACGAAATTTTATTTTTTTCATCGCTAAAAGTTTTAGCGACGGATTTTCGACTTTTAGCGACGTATTTGTCCGTCGCTAAAAGTCCTGTTTCTAGCATGCACGAATCGACACCAATTATTTCATAGTGATCACTTGATTATATAGTATGGACCTAAATATACATAGTATATAATAATAACTAAGGGCATTCTACTAGCATAGTAATGATATGCTCTTCAACATCCAATATATCTTATGTAACATTTTTGAATGTTAATAAAGATTTTATTGTTGCACATATAATTTGGGTAACATTTCTATAATTGTTATAATACCTTAAAAATTATTTTATTAGATCTTACACTGTGATGGCCAATTGCTTGGAGATGTGATCTAACTTAAGAGATTTCTTAAATTTGTGCTTAACATATAACTAGTAAAGGATAACTTTATTATAATAGGGTATTATGTATGACACCGACATGTGAGATGTGGTGGTGAGTCTCAACCATAGAGAATGAGGATTTCCCGGGTATATGTCATAAGCACACATTGTGATGTGTGTAGCACTAGACTATATTTGAATTCTCTACGATGAGTCACCTAGGAGATGGAGAATTCAAATTGTTATATGACCCATTTTGACTTGACGATATTGTCATTTTCGATTCGATAATTTTGTATGTTTTGATGTGAATGTTAAACTTGTTTAGCAAGTGCTACACAACCTAAAAGTTGGGTTACTAGATTTTGTTTAGGGAAATGGTGGATATCTAGATAGGATCCAGTATGCTCATTATAATAAGTTAATTTATTATGTGCTCCCATGAAGTTATAAAATTCCCGCCAGCGGGTGATTTTGAAAAATATTTTTCAAAATTTATATTTTTATAAAAATAAAATATTTTAATATTTTAAAATAATTTTTATTTATATTAATGCGAATTACAATTTAGGCATGAGCAAATATGTAAATTATCCTACTCAAAAAAGTTGCCTAAAATAAATAATACTAGAGGGGACTGGATGTAAAATATTATTTATAAATAATTAATTCCATATTATAGAAAAGCTTTTATGAATAGTTGGTCAGATAATGATTTGACTGTAAAATTAAAATTATTAATTTGATTTATAATTGATTCTCGATATAGAGCCCAATTGGTCTCACTGATGTTATTAGAAGAGATTTACATGCAATATAATTCTATTTTTATCCTTAATTGTTACGGAAAGAGTATCCTATCATTAATTGTTATGGATAGAGTTTTTGAACAATTCTATTCTATGTTTAATTGTTATGAATAGAGTTTTGAACAAATATGAATTGTTTAAAATTATAATCTATAAGGCTGGTCTAATCCTATATATATGGTTCATATGTAGCCTTATGAAGACGCATATAATCTTATTTAGAAAAGATGAAGAATAGAGTAGAGAAAATAGAAAATTGAGAACTTATCTCTCAGTATTCCTCATCCTTGGTGATGAGTAAATTTCAATTGGAGGCTTTTTCTCTTGAAAAAACTTTAGAATTTTCAGATAGAGCTTGGGAGATGGATTTTTTCATGTAGATCTTGGAAGATGGATTATGAAAGATTGGAAGGTGTTCCAGGTATATTCTGATTTCGATTAATTTTGATTAATAGTCACGATATACATATTCTGTCTTCTTGTATGTCGTGTATCCAACACATTCTACACTCAAACACTACCAAGATTTGAATCTTACAATTTTCATCCTTTTCAAAAGTTTACATTTCTAAGCATAAGCTTTGTATAGTAACTATAACAAATATCTAATGAATCTTATTTTTAAAAGTATTTATAGAACTCCTGAATAAAAACTTGACCATGATGTATAAGACGATGGTCTAGAAGTATTTATTTTATTGATAACATCATTTAGTGGGACGATATTTGTAAAATTTTTATAAGATTAAATTAACAATATGTTTGTAATTGACTTTTATTGCTCAAACGCCTGATAAGCAGAATGTTTATCGATTAAACTCTTGGGATTGTTTTGTATCCATTTTATACACATGTAGTATATGAATCTAGTTCGGTAATATATTTGTCGTATAACTTTTATTGTTATGTATTACATGTGTATGTGTGCTTGAGACCATGGAAAAGTTAACATGTGTCATTTTTTAATTCTTGGTGTTCCAAGTTGCTAAACTTGTTCAAAACACGATGTTAACATCAGTGCAAGAGTAACATTTATTGCCACAATTTTTCAAAAATGTTTTTTTTTCATTCTCACAAATATCCTAATGTATTCAACTGTAAAGATATACACGGATAAATGAACTGTAACCAAGACGAGACATCATGTTTCTTTGTTTCTTTGGCATTCTACTCGAGATCAATGACAGAATTAAAACAATACATTCAAAATTGCTCTCGACCCAAATGTAAGGAGGAGGAAAAAAATGAATAAAGATTGTTAATTTCATAAAGTTCTAACTCATATTATATATTTTCTGTTGTATCTTTCTTCTTTACCCAAGACAACAAATGCAATCACATGAAATTGCATCACGTTTAAGCCTAATTTTCACAAATTTCTCCAAGTCCAACTCCATCTCTTGATTTTCTTTGCAGATTAAATCATTTTCTTTTCTTATTACTTCCATGATTTCCTCAGTCTCTCTAATCAATTCGACTAATGCTTCATTCTCAACCTTTAAATCTTCATTCTCTTGCTTGACAGTACGTAATTCTTGATCATGTTTACTACGTAGTTCTTGATCATGTTTATCCTGTAACTGACTTCCTGTACCTGACCTCTCTGAGTCTGTCTCAGCTTCTAGCTTCGGCAATTCCATCATTTCCTAAAGAAAAAAGGGTAAATTTCACAAATCTATTATCACCAAGTATTATCGAGTTTGCACGAAACTACCATAAACTAGTAGAGGATGGCTATGATTTATTTTGAATGAAGTGTGGGGAAGAGAATAGTTTCAAAGATAAAAGTCATAATTATATTTCGATGACTCATAAACATAGTAAAATACAAAGAAATAATTACCTTACACCAAGGGATCAAACTTGGGGCCTTGGTGATCTTCCCTATTTGAAACTTGCAATTTTTAGATCTTCACTGAGTATTTGGCTTATCTCTCTTTTGATACATCAATTCGTAGGCCATAAATAGAGAAATAGAGAGGGAAAATTTTCAAGTTATAAATTCTTTGATAATTTTTGTATTAATATTGTTTCCTAAGATAGAAATGAGCGTACAACTCCTTATTTTTGTATATATTAATTTCACGATGCATGAATCGGCAAGATTTAGCATGACATGCTTGATTGTTTTCCATAAGTTAGCTCGAGGTTCAATGCACAAGCAAAAGGTACGAGAACTAGGGCAGAAGTTTTGTTGGGCGCAGAGTCACGCCCACCGTTGCGGGAGCGATATCACCTAAGAGATAGCCCTGACTTTTGTAGTCACAAAAGCACAAGGTAACCTCTATATTCTTGTTTTTCAAAGGAAACTAGAATAGATAGTGAAATTCTTATTTCTCAAAGGAAACAAGAATTGAAAGTGATATATTTCATCAAAGTAAAATATACACTCTTCCTCTCATCAGTTCTAAGACTGAAATGTCGAGGGAACCTACAAGCTATGGTAACTCACAGTAAAAGACGAGACAACAGATTTACGTGGTTCGGCAAACTTGCCTACGTCCACGGGAGGGGGTTTTAATTATGAGAAGAATACCAAACTATTACAAGTTCTCTCTCAACTCACTCTTTCTTTTATCTCAAAACTCCACTCAAGAGATTTTCCCCACACCAACTCAACTCACAACCACCTCTATTTATAGCAAATGGAGGGGGGCAGATATGAAGCATTTTTTTGGCGGGCACAAGCGGCGGGAAAAGAAAATCCCGCACTTGAACTCGTGTACGAGCACGAGCTCAGGCGGCGCGCGTGCTCGAGATGTCTTCGACCGCGTCGTGGGCATGCAGGCGCAGGGCGACACGACACGGGCGCACGAACTCGAGCCCACGACTTGTCGTGGCCAAAAGTGGCGCAGCGCAGATGGCAGGCGCCCACGAAACCCCACCCACGTGGGTGGGCCCCCCTGGTCCCCCGCGTCCATAATTCTTCACCTCGTACATCATTTGATAAACCTCAAATTTTGGACGAATACCAGAAGAATTCCCACGAACTCCACCAGAGAGATACAGGCCAAAAAACCAGGCCAAACCAGCTACGTCACTATACCGCGACTGTCTACGTACCCTCCACCGGGATCAAGCTAACCGTAGTTCTGTAGTTATTCTTCAACATAGTCACCACCTCACCTTCATCACCGACCCGAAGGGCCATGCCCTCTTAGGCAGATCAACACGGGCTGATATAAAACAAGCCCAAGTAATGCTGGAACTTACTACCCGTGACCATCTTGGTTAACATGTCCGCGGGATTCTCATTCGTATGCACCTTCATGAGAGAAATATCGCCTTCCTCTATGATTCTCATTCGTATGCACCTTCATGAGAGAAATATCGCCTTCCTCTATGACATCCCGCACAAAATGATATCTGACGTCGTATGCACCTTCATGAGAGAAATATCGCCTTCCTCTATGACATCCCGCACAAAATGATATCTGACGTTGATATGCTTGGTACGAGCATGGTGAACTTGATTCTTCACCAAATGAATCGTACTTTGACTGTCGCACCACAAGTTCACACTCTCCTGCTCAATCCCCAAATCGTCTAGAAGACCCCACAACCACAATGCTTCATTCACTCCCTCCGCCATGACCATGTACTCGACCTCTATTGTAGAAAGTACCACTGTAGCCTGCAACATCGATCGCCAACTAACTGGAGCCCCATGTATCCTACATACATAACCATCGCCGTCTATCTAGATCGCCTGCATAATCTGAGTCCACATACCCGTCGACCTGACATGTATCTCCACCAAAACACATACCAGTATCCACGGTACCTTTTAAGTATCTCAGGACCCATTTCACCTCTTCCCAGTGCGTCTTTTCCAGATTCGCCATGAATCTACTGACCACACTAACCGCTTGTGAAATATCTGGACGTGTACACACCATTGCGTACATCAAACTACCATCTGCACTAGCATAAGGGACACGCTCCATGTGTGTCTTATCTTCCGCTGTAGTGGGAGATTGTTTACCTGAAAGCCTAAAGTATGGAGCCAATGGGGTCACCACCGACTTTGCACTTTGCATCCCGAACCTCGCGATCACCCGCTCTATGTAGCCCTTCTGACTCAAGAACAATTGCCAGTTCGCCCGCTCTCTTCTAATCTCCATACCCAGTATTTTCTTTGCAGCGCCCATGTCCTTCATCTCGAACTCTTTGCTAAGTTGAGATTTCAGCTTATCTATCTCCACCTTGTTCTTCGATGCAATAAGCATGTCATCCACATACAAAAAAAGATAGATATTTGGGCATGCCACAGATCTCTAAGAGGCTCTCCTTTCTTGATTGCTCTCCTTTAATATCTAAAGTCTCTGATCAACTCCAATCTTGGCAGAACAGGAGACATTTGTCATATGCGGGAAGAATCCAACTAATAAAATCTGTTATCATGGGAATTCAAATCTATTGGACAAGCAACTATATCCTTCCGATAAAGGTTTTGGAAAAGATTGATAAAATGTGTTCTGCTTTCCTATGGGGGAACAAAATACATTTAGTTTCCTGGTCAGAAGTGTGCAAGGATAAAGAACATGGAGGATTGAGTCTCTTCAATGCCAGGTATTGGAATTATTCAGCAGGTATTAAACTACTATGGATGATACATACTAAAAAGGATTTACTGTGGATTAAATGGGTCCATGAGAACTATTTACAAAATCAGAGTATTTGGCAAATTCAACCGAGGAAGAATGACTCTTGGATGTGGCGCCAACTCTTAAAAGTGAGAGATTTGGTGATAAGCAGATTTGGAAGTATGGGGAATATTCAAGGTGTTCTAGATAGCTGTCTCAAAGATGGTAACATTCAAATCTCTTCTATATACAAGGCCATTTCTTACTCTTCAGCTACTGTAAACTGGTCGAAGTCAGTTTGGGGGGGCTTGCACTATCCCAAACACTCTTTGATTATGTGGCTTGCCATCCTCTCGAGGCTGCTGACTAAAGACAGACTATACCGCATGAAGATCTTGGAAGCTAATCAGAATCAATGTGTATTGTGCACAGGCTCTGCAAACAGGCCTGAATCTAAAAATCACCTCTTCTTCGAGTGTCAATACTCAGCTTCTGTCTGGAATGATATGATGGAATGGTTAGGCTTTACTTGGAGATCATGTGATTGGAATTGTGTGATGAATTGGTTTAATAACAACCTGAAGGGGTTAGGATTTATGAAGAAGGTGAAGAGAATGGTGCTGTCAGCAACAATATATTGGATATGGAAGGAGAGGAACTCAAGAATTTTTCAGCAAAAATGTAGAAGCTCCGATCAACTTGTGAGGGAGGTGAAGATTTCTGTCCTTATGAAAGTGCTGCAGGAAAAAGTTCCAGACCATTTGAGAGAAAGAATTAATAGATTGTAAATAAGTTAGTTTTTTGTTCTTGGTTGCCAGACCATTCTGGTTCTTGATGTGCTCTCATTTCAAAATTGGGAAAATGAATAAAATTTTTTCATTTACCAAAAAAAAAAAAGATAGATATAATCACCTCCACGAAACTTCCGAATGTAAACACGACAATCATAGTCGCTTCGGGAAAACTCATGCTTCAGCATGAAGGAGTCAAATCGCTTGTACCACTATCGTGGAGATTGCTTTAATCCGTAAAATGACTTCCTCAAGCGACATACATGTTTCTCCTTGTCCTCAACCTTGTAACCCTCAGGTTGATGCATATAGATCTCTTCATCCAAGTCTCCGTGCAAGAAGGCCGTCTTTACATCGAGTTGTTCCAGCTCAAGATCACCATGAGCAACAATACTCAATAGAACCTGAATAGAGGTATGTTTCACCATCGGAGAAAAGATCTCATTATAATCCACACCTTCTCTTTGTGCAAACCCCTTGGCCACTAGCCTGGCCTTGTACCTTGTACCACCGAGCTCTGAAGGATCTTCCTTTCTCTTATACACACTTACAACCAATAGCTTTTCTTCTTACGGGCAATGAGACCACCTCCCATGTTTGGTTCTTCCGAAAAGATTCCATCTCCTCCTCCATCGCAGCCAACCAACTCTCGCTATCTTTATCCTGAATAGCTTCCTTGAAGGAAACTGGCTCATCTTCCTCTACCAAGAGTGTGTACTCAACCAAATTAACCTGTCTATAGTGCTTTAGGGGTTGATCAGCCCCTAGTTTCTATACCTACTTGTATGCTCGTTTTGGCCTAGTGGAAGCCAAGCTATCCTCGAGCTGTTGTTGTTGTAATACCTGTNTCTCCTGCTGAACCTCCTCCTGCTCAAGCTCATCATCTACCTGATTTTCCACTTGAACACGACTAGAACCTGGTTGGTCTTTAGGTTCTATATCAATAACCTGGGACTTAGAATTCCCAACAATCTCAACACCATCATCCTTGGGCATCCTAGCAATCATGAACTTCTCATCAAAGGTAATGTCCCTGCTGATCATGAACTTCGAATCTTCTGTACACCAAAGGCGATAGCCTTTTACACCCTTTGCATACCCCAAGAAAATTACCTTCTTGGCCCTCGCGTCAAGCTTTCCCTCGTTGACGTGATAGTAGGCGGTACACCTAAAGATTCGGAGCCTCTCATAATCTGCATGCTCCCCTGACCACACCCAATAGGGTGTATCACCATCCAATGTCGAATGTGGAGATCGATTCACTATATAGCAACCCGTAGCAGTCGACTCTGCCCACCATCTTTGCCCAAACAAGCATAAGATCGCATACTCACTGCTTTCTCCCGTAGTGTTCGGTCCAGTCTCTCCGTGACCCCATTTTGTTGTGGTGTAGATCTTACTATCCAGTGTCTAGAAATTCCTTCCTGATCACAGAACTCCTTGAAAGCACCATCTGTATACTCTGTATCGTTATCAGATCTCAGTGTCTTCAATTTCTTGCCCGTCCTATTCTCAACCATCGCATTTCACTTCTTGAATGTCTCAAATACCTCATTCTTATGCTTTAGGAAATAAAACTAAGCATACCTCGAATGATCATCTATGAATGAGACAATATCTGGAACCACCCTTGGAAGTTGTCGAAGCTAGACCCCAAACATCCATGTGCACATAATCTAGTATCCCTCTGCTCTTGTGCTTGCTCCTAAGAAACTGGACCCTGTGCGCCTTTTTATACACACAATGCTCATAAAAATCCATGCAAGGTTTCTTCAGATTCTTTAGCAAACATTCTTTACCAAGCAGATCTAGACCCTTCTCTGACATGTGCCCAAGCCGCCTATGTCATAACCGTGTGTGATCACATGGGTCTCCACCACTTCTTTCAGCTCCAACTGTTGCATCTCCCGTCACAGTTGTACCCGAGAGAGTATATAGATTACCGTGATGAACACCCTTCATCACTGTTGGGGAACCTCGAACAACCCTCTTCACTCCATTCTCTGTTACAATCTTGCAACCCTCGGAGTCCAAAGCACCAACTGAAATAAGATTCTTCCGCAAGTCGGGAACGTGCCTTACATCCGTCAAGGTTCGAGCCACTCCATCATGCATCTTGATCTTGATATCGCCTAGTCCCACAGTTTTACAAGCATGGTTGTTCCCCATCAATACTGTTCCACCATCAATGCTCCTATAGGTAGTAAACCACTTCTTATTTGGACACATGTGGTAAGAGCAACCAGAATCAATTATCCACTTCCCGGAGGTATCCTCGCCACCCGTGACGACATAGCATTCATTATCGCTCCTTTCCCCTGAAGCGTAGCTCGCCTCTTCCTTGCCTTCTCGTCTTTCAGTTTTGTTGTTGTTCTTCTTCCCACCTACTCTCTTGTTAGGACAATTGACTTTGAAATGCCCTAGCTCACCGAATTTGAAACACGATCTTTCCACAAGAGGTCTCGATTTAGATCTAGACTTTCTTCCCTTGCCTTTTCCTCGCTCATTGCCTCTTTCTCTGGCAAACAGTCCCTGAGCTTGTTCCTTGTTACCACCAGTGGCCATATCACTAGTTGTAATTTTTTGAAGATTATCTGATAGAAACGCCGTTCTAGTCTCATCCATCGATAAACTGTCACCCACAAGCATCAGTGTTTGAACCAGATTCTCATAAGACTTTGGCAGAGATAGAAGTAGTAGAAGTGCCCGATCCTCGTCTTCCACTGTCATCTCAATGTCTTTCAAATCCGATAAGATCCTATCGAACTTGTTGATGTATTCCCGGATTGATGAACCCTCCTCCATCTTGCAAGTATACAATTTGAATTTTAAATTAATCCGGTTCGTTAGACTCTTCGTCATGAATGTGCTCTCTAATTTTAACCACACGCCCGTAGCCGTTTCCTCTCCTTCCACCAAGAAAGCTACATCCCTTTCAAGGCAAAGGATAATCGACGTCCGTGCTTCCAGATCCAACTCCTCCCAATCCTCATCAGACATATTTTTGTTCTTCTCTTTTCCAGCCAAAGCTTTGTGTAATTTTTTACGAAATCAGCGAATTTTTCATCTGCATCCTCCAATAGGAAAAATCATTTTTCCAACTTTAATTGTTGGGCGCAGAGTCACGCCCACCGCCGCGGATACGATATCACCTGAGAGATAGCCCTGACTTTTGTAGTCACAAAAGCACAAGTCAAGCTCTATATTCTTGTTTCTCAAAGGAAACTAGAATAGATAGTGAAATTCTTATTTCTCAAAGGAAACAAGAATCGAAAGTGATATATTTCATTAAAGTAAAATATACACTCTTCCTCTCATCAGTTCTAAGACTGAAATGTCGAGGGAACCTACAAGCTATGACAACTCATAGTAAAAGACGAGACAACAGATTTACGTGGTTCGACAAACTTGCCTACGTCCACGGGAGGGGATTTTAACTATGAGGAGAATACCAAACTATTACAAGTTCTCTCTCGACTCACTCTTTCTTTTCTCTCAAAACTCCACTTAAGAGATTTTTCCCCACACCAACTCAACTCACAACCACCTCTATTTATAGCAAATGGAGGGGGCAGATCTGAAGCATTTTTTTTGGTGGGCACAAGTGGCGGGAAAAGAAAATTCTGCGCTCGAACTCGTTTACGAGCACGAGCTCAGGCGGCGCGCGTGCTCGAGATGTCTTCGACCGCGTCGTGGGCATGCAGGCACAGGGCGACACGACACGGGCGCATGAACTCGAGCCCACGACTCGTCATGGCCGCAAGCGGCGTAGCGCAGATGGGCAGGCGCCCACGAAACCCCACCCACGTGGGTGGGCCCCCCTGGTCCCCCGCGTCCACAAGTTTTGAGTGTTTAATGTACAAGCTAAATTATTCTTCAATATTACCTTCTACTTGCTAAAGCATAGAACTACAAAAGACCCTTTACAGTCCCAAAATGCATAAATAGAGTTTATCCCAAAAAATGTGTTGGATAGGGAATTCCTAATCTATTTTGGTAACATGAGGTTATTAGGATTCCTAGTCTACTTTGGTAACATGAGATTATTAGGATTCTTAATCTATTTTGGTAATAGGTTATTAGGATTCCTAATTTGATTTGGTTTTGGTTTAGAATTCCTAGTATGTTTATGATTTTAGGATTTCTATATATATGGAACAATTGGAAGAGAGATTTTGTCGGAGAAGAAAAATTGGGGATATTTGGAGCACAGAAAAGAGGTATTTTCCGAGCTATTTGTTTAGAGTTTTGTTTGGAGAGATTAAGAGCTTGTTGGTGAGATTAGTTTGTTCCTTCGAGTGATTTGTAATCTCAGTTTGTACTCTTTCTCTATTAGTGAAAACCCCTCATCCCCTTCTTGCCCCGTGGACGTAGGCAATTGCCGAACCACGTAAAACTATTGTGTTTGGATTTGTGTCGTTGTTTTGATTTGTTTGGCCTTTATCTCGACGTTTATTTGATTTGGTTCTCGAAGCACGCCCGTTTGGTTGTCACGCTTCCGCGACGCGCACAACAAAATGTAGATCCTAAACCAAATCGATTCAAAATTGTAAATTACTAACAAGAATCCCAATTTCTGTTTAAGTCCATTATTCTTTTTAATCTTTTCAATGCGAGAGTATAATCATATAAATATGAATTCCCAACATTCTACCCTTTATTTGTTAATAAATTTTAATCTTCCGCATAAAACTATGGACTTGAAAACTTTGGACGACGTTTATCATCTGTGCACATGATTTTCAGCCTAAACCAATAATCATGCATCATCTAATAAAATATTATTTTCATCCCTAAAACTCACCCACAACATCCAATAAAATATTATTTTCATCTAACAACTCATTCACATCATCTAATAAAATATTATTTTCATCTAACCACTCATCCATCACATCTAATAAAATATTATTTTTATCTAACAACTCATCCATCACATCTAATAAAATATTATTTTCATCCAAACATCACTCAACTCATCTCTTTTCATCATTTCAAATCACTCACATCATCCAATAAAATATTATAACAATTCACCTCATCTCATTAACATTTCATTTCTTTGTTTTCATCCCAAAAAGTTGTGAAAACACTTTTCTTAATCTTGGATCATATCACCCAATAATACAATGACAACTCATCTCATCTCATTTCATTTCTTATTTTTAAGAATGAACCAAACCAAAAGAAAACAACAAACTACAGGAACTAGGTTTCTTATAATTCATTTCCTTATTTTTTTCGCCAACCAAACAACATCAAAACTAGTTTTCTTAAAAAATCACTCACATCATCCAATAATAATATGACAACTAACATCATTTCGTCTCCATTTTTTTGATTTCCTTCTTTTTTTAGCCAACCAAACACTCCCAAACTAATTCTTCATTTTAATAGTTTTTCATTTCTTTGATTTCCCTCTTTTTTTTTAGTAAAACAAACAGGCCCTAACCCTCCCACTTTTATCATAACGTCGTACCTTTGACAATATCCGCATTATTGTTGGATAAATAGGACGTACTTGTATTATTAAAAGAATTGCTTTTCATGTTGTAATTACAACATATGAATCCCATAGTTTTCTTAGATCCGATACTATTCATTTATTACAGAGGAGGTCGGTATAAGAAAGAGCCACAAGTGTTAAAAAAAAACCAAATACCACTGATCCAGCTTGATACCTAATTACGAAGATACGAAATCATTTCATCTAGAGTAGAATCATTTTCAAATATATATACCTCTGATTCTTTCACTCAAGGTGATCATGAGGCCGGAGGGACATGAACATCGCCGCGTACTGCCGAAGGCGGCGGTCACTGTCGCCAAATTCCGGCGGTTCGACCACCGCGCCCCTCGTCCTCGTCCTGTATCGACGCCAAGCAAGTTGAATATTAACAGCTGCCCATGTTCTCCAGTTCGACGAGTAGTATCTCGCAGTTCTCTTCAGCCTCTCGTTCGCGAACCTGTATCTGAAATGTTCGGTTATGTACCGGAGATGAGGCGCGTCAAGAGCGAAGGCTTCGGTTGGTTCGATGCACTCGAATGTGGCGGACGAAGCGGGGAGGCGGTCGAGGAAGGGGCGGCGGAGGCACCATGAGAGGAGCTCGTCACCCAGGAAGTTTCCTGGCCCAAGCATGCATGTTGCGACTACGCCCTTGCTTAGGGGCTGGCTGCTTTTTAGATGGCCTTTTACAACGAAGACCATTCTTTGCACCGGGTCACCTTCTCTGATTACCTGGGTAAATGTTTGACCAGACCAAATTAACACAAAAGCTTAAGCCGTTTTTTCTAGTTCTTTCCCATAGGGAACTATTACTCGTATATAAACTTAGGAGCGGTATAAACTCAAGATTTGATTCTAGGGTTATTGCACATAGACACCTGCAGTATCATCGATTTGCATTTACTACCTTTGGTAGTTTCGTTTTGCAGATAGATCCCAGGGTTTTTTTTTTTTTTTTTTGACTCTTTGCACTTACTGATATTTTAGCAGATAAGGCCCCTCGGTGAAATTGGTTAGTCTTATCTGAGGGTAAAAAGAGTAAAGAAAAAAAAAAAGCTCCGATGAAACTACAGGGACAGTAAGATCAAAACAACGATACTAAAAGGAGTCTATAAATGTGCAATTCGCCTTCAATTATATTACGTGTCATAACACCTTCATGGATCACATTTTGTACCTTTTCATTCTTGGAGAAAACCAGAGGTTGAACTCTGTCACAGATGTTGTCGAGTATCAGTTCGTCCAAGTTGTGGAACAAAGGCACCTGACAAACGAGTAGTAAACTGGTCAGTTCATGAATACTATATCGATCCTATACATTTCAATGAATATTGTGATCTTACATCTAAAATCTCCAAAGTTTCGTTGTTGTAAAGTTACCTGCTTAATGAGATCTAGGCAGAGATAACGCTTGATATCTCGCCTGAGGCCTTCAGGCAAGTCTTTGATCATCTCCATTACATCCTCCCCTCTCATCGTAGCCCATCTCTGGCGCTCATATTGGCGAACTCTCTGCCTAAAGCGAGAGGGAAGTTGTCTCCTCTTCATCCACCACTCCATGTCTCGGCATCTTAGTTGCATTTTTCTCTTTCTCGCCATTACTGCGTGTAAGAACACCTAGCATGCCAAATATATTAACAAATAGAGGCATTAATGATCCCATTATAGCATTAAAATGGATAAATTCCACGAACCCTCTTTTAAGTTTGGTAGATTTTGAGATAACCTCTCTACATTTTAAAATGTCACTTAACCCGAATTAAGTTTAGGCCGCATTAAGTTTAGGGTGTTTCAGAAATCCTCCCTTAAGTTTGACATTTTTGTTATTTGGACGCACATGATTTTCACGTGCACAGTCGGATCTAGCAATGTTTATTAAGGGGGTAACTAACAAAATTTAAGGGGAGTTAAGTGACATTTCTAAAGTTTGTGAGGGGGTTATCTGGTGGTTTTGTGAAATTTACCCCTTTATATTTCTTTCCATATGTAGGATTACCTGAATGTTACCAATCAACAAAGTGAACAGCATCAGACCGCTCAGTGTAATGATTATGCTGAAGATCACTTCTAGCCAGTTGCTTGTAGGTTCGAGATCATTACCAAAAGTGCTGCAATAGAACATTGAGTTAGATGAGGAAAATCTAATAGACTAATATGAACATATCTTGCTTGAGATTGTAGCAACAGAATTTAACAATATACGGCTCAAAATTGCAGAAGCTCAAAGCACTTCGCGTCTTAAATTACTCTGCAGTAAGTTATGTCTAGGTCCAAGGTTTTTGCAACAGAAAATCAAAAGAATTAGGATTAAGATAAATAGAAATACAATTACGGAAGGACATAGTTACATAACTACAGTCTCCTAAACTAAGGAAAGTGGCCATATCAGATGAATACCTAATTATCTTGTAGTGTTTATATATTGTAACAGTATGATAAATATAATCTCTGTATATGTAATGCATGCCTAGGATTTATTAGTCTAAGGAATGACCTAAAGATGTTCCTACTCCGCCTAATAAGACTGGATGTTCGAAAATATTATGTCTTTTCCATGTCAATCTTAATAATCACAAATTTCAATTTCAATGTACTCTTCTATCCTGAGAGTTTCTTGAGGTGTAATTAAATGTTCACCTAATATCCAGTCTATAAGCTTTTTATTTGAGAGATTACAAAACATGGAAGATTTTTCCCCTGTGAAAATTGCATGCTTCATTCATATTTTGTACGTGTGCAATGTGCAACGTTTCATTCATATTTTGTACATGTGCATTAAATGTGCTGAAACACTACTAAATATCAAGCGCTATTGAGCAGGTACAAAAGACTCAAAACCATGATTTCTTATAACAAATTATAGATGTCCATGAAACAAGTTTGATCCTGACGTGTGGATTCAACCGTGCTAAACTGAAAACTATTTTCCGCTGCTAGAATGTGTCGGAGAATTCTCGAAGCATGAATATGTAATATAAAGCTAAAGCAGATTTGATATCAGTGATTCAGTGATGACCGTGTTCTTGCGTTTAGTCAGATATTTCACCTGAGCGTCATAAGGCCCCAAAATATAGGATAAAGGATCTTGACAGCAAGTGAATTGCTTGAAACAACAGGGAGCGCCCAGTTGTATATCCCGTAAGGGAATGGCCCATTAACATTCAAACATGCTGAATTATTCTGCATCCCGACACTCGTCAAATTACTCTGACATTCTAGTTCGTCCAAGCCTGAGGGTAATGGAAGACGGTAGCAGACTTCCTTGGAGCAGGCCAACGACACAAGGTCGCAATTGTTGTTCTTCTCGCATTCCTGTTGGATACAGGATGCAACGCGCTGAATGGCAAGAACGTACCAGCACCCCCCAGCGACCTAAGTATACAACAATGTGAAATTTCAAATTCCTTGATAATTTACAATGAGAGTCTAAATATCTGATGGATCACAAGCTTTCCATTGTGAACGTTGCATGTTTTATATTTACTCAGTTGTAGATTGCTGATTAGGCCTCGTTATTGATCTATCCATTGTGAGTTGTTAATCAGTCCTAGTTATAATAGAGTTCTAGTTAGAATAGAATACTAGTTAGGATAGTTTTTCTAGTTATTGGATAAGATTAGAGTTGTAATCTTATTCCTATATATATGTAAACAATCTTTGTAAGTAGTAGAACGTGAAATAAAAAGAAAACTCCAGAAAAGTTCCTGCCTCTCTCCTCTGTTCGTTCTCTCTTCTCTCTGTTTACAGGTTCTCTTTTGTGTTCACCAACAAATCAGATCCTGAGCTCTCAATTGGCTGTTGTTCGGTCCCAAAAGGAAAGGTCCCAGGCTCTGTTTTCGGCCAATAGCAAGTGCAGGAGCAGAGACACAAAACTTCCTGCAGTAAAGTCCCGTGGGTGGTTATTTGGTGTTCGGTTTCTCCAAAATCAGGTAAAGAAGCTTTGCTTTCAGGTTTTACAAAGCTTTCAGGTCTTGTATTTCGGGCCGATCCTATTGCAAAAGCCAACAAGTGGTATCAGAGCGGTGTATGCTTAAGTACCAACCAAGATCTGAAGAGATGACGAGTTCGGAGAAGATGACGACCAAGGTGGGTTCGCTCACTCTTCAATACCCGACGTTATCGAGGGACAACTATGCTTCGTGGGCGATCAAGATGAAAGTCTACATGAAGGCTCAAGACGTGTGGGATGCCATTGAGCCCGCGGCAGGCGCGTCCGTGGAACACAGGAAGGATCAGATGGCGTTGGCGGCCATCTACCAGGGGATTCCTGAAGAGACTTTGATGGTGATCGCAGAGAAGCAAACGGCAAAAGAGGCATGGGAGACGTTGAAAACTATGCACCTAGGAGCGGATCGTGTGAGGAACGCGAAGGTGCAGACCTTGAAGTCCGAGTTCGAACTTCTCCGGATGAAGGAGAATGACAACGTCGACGATTTTTCGACGAAGTTGACAGGAGTCGTCAACAAGATCCGGGCTTTAGGCGGCGAGATGGAGGAGAACTACGTCGTCAGAAAGCTACTTCGGGCGGTACCGGAGAGATTCCTTACTATCGTCTCCACGATTGAACAGTTCGGGGACATCGACGACATGACACTCGAGGAGGCGATCGGGCGCCTCAAAGCCCACGAGGAGAGGGCACGTGTTTTTCGAAACAACGTCGACGATCACCTATTGTTGACACATGCGGAGTGGCAAGCAAGGGGCAAGAAGAGCAACGGAAACACCTTCTCCACACAGGCGAGTAGTGACGGCAATGGACGAGGCCGTGCACGCGGAGCAGGACGTGGACGAGGCCGCGGCCAGGCAGGCCGTGGTGGCCAGTTCGGCCGAGGCAGAGGCCAGGGAGGCCAGTCTGACCGTGTGGGTCAGGCAGGCCGCGGAGGAACTCAGGGAGGCCAGGTGGGCCGGGGAGGTTTCGGCGGCATAGGAGGACATCCGGGAGGCGGCTTCGGACATGGAGGTGCAGCTCGCCAGGAAGGGGAGAGAAGCACAAGCGGTGGTCGAGACAAGTCCAACATTAAATGCTTCAATTGCGGAGTATACGGGCACTTTCAGTCGGAGTGTCACAAGCAACGCCGCAACCATGAACAGGAGGCTCATCTCACCCGTGCATATGACGAGGAGCCAACCTTGATGATGGCTATGTTAGAAGAATCGTCAAGTGTTATTTTACTTAATGAGGAGAAGGTGATGCCGGATTTACTTACAGCGGGGGAGGCACACGTTGACAACAACACATGGTATCTTGACAACGGAGCTAGCAATCACATGACCGGCCACCGAGACAAGTTCAAGGAGCTCGACGAGAACATCAAGGGAACCGTCAAGTTTGGTGATGGATCCGCGGTAGAGATCAAGGGGAAAGGCTCAATCCTCTTTCAGTGCAACAACGGCGATCAAAGGCTACTACCTGAGGTATATTATATTCCAAGTTTGAAATCTAACATTATTAGCCTTGGTCAGATGACTGAAGATGGAAGCAACGTTGTGATTTCTGGTGAGTTCCTGAGGGTGTTTGATAGGAACGGTGCTCTCTTGATGAGGGTGACACGTTCAACTAACCGATTGTACAGGATAGAGTTAAAGACTTGCAAGCCGGCGTGTTTGATGGCGAACATTAACGATCCAGCTTGGTTATGGCATGCTCGCCTTGGGCATGTCAATTTCTTCGCCCTCAAGATGATGACTGATAAGAGGATGGCTTCCGGATTGCCGAAGATCTTGCACCCGAATCAACTATGCGAAGGATGCCTTGTCGCCAAACAAGCAAGACTGTCGTTCCCTTCGCAAGCAAATTTCAGAGCTCAGAAGCCGCTGGAGTTACTACACGCTGACCTATGTGGTCCTATCACCCCATCTACACTTGCTGGGAACAACTACTTCCTTCTTATCGTTGATGATTTCAGCCGATGGATGTGGGTATACATGTTGAAGGCCAAGAGTCAAGCTTGTGAAACCTTCAAGAAGTTCAAAACAGAGGTTGAGAATGCATGTGACCACAAGGTGAAGACATTGAGGACGGATCGTGGTGGGGAGTTTTTATCAAAGGAGTTCACCAAGTTATGTGAAGAATACGGCATCAAGCGTCATCTCACTGCACCGTACACCCCGCAACAAAACGGTGTAGTGGAGAGGCGTAACCGCACGGTGATGGACATGGCGAGAAGCCTACTTAAGAGCATGCATATGCCTGGAACCATGTGGGGCGAAGCGGTTAGGCACGCGGTGTACATCCTCAACCGACTACCAACCAAGGCGTTGCACGACCACACACCCTACGAAGCTTGGTTTGGTAAGAAACCCCACCTAGAACACTTGAGAGTTTTTGGATGTATGGCGCATGTGAAGATTGCAGGTCCTTCTCATAAGAAACTCGACGACCGGAGCACGCCAATGGTGTATATTGGGGTAGAAGAAGGAAGCAAAGCGCATCGCCTATAACGACGCCTCAACATAACAAGACTACGTGCAGCAGGGTGTTCGCGTTTGAGGAAGGAAAAGAGTGGGAAGGAGCCGAAAGGAGTCAGAAAGATAGCACCCAGCTGGTTTATGGAATAACAGTGAAGGCGACAACTGCAGCCTGTCGACCCACAAACCGGCCGCATGTCTGCTGCAGTCCAAAATGGAGCAGCAAGCAGAGCCGATCTGCTGCAGTTTTGTTCCTGGAACAACCTGCTGGCCGCAACAGCCCCTGCAGGAACTCGTCTCGCAGGCGGCGGCTGACGCGGAAGACGACCGCTGACAGCCGGCACAACCGAACAGTAGCTCCATGGCAGGAGCTGCTGCTGCTGCACTGCTGCAGGCCAAACACCCGCAAAATGTTGGCATTGTTGGCAGGCGAACGCAGGGTAGTTTGCTCACGCTGGTCAGAAACTGCAGCGGAGGCCAGCGACGCCCACTGTTTTGGACAGCGTTCGCCCCCTGAAAGCCTCGCAGTTTATGAAACTCCTGTTACGGCTATTCGATTCCTTGCGGACCATCTTATGGCGGAGACGGAGGTGATCACGCTTCCTGCAGAGGGAAAAACATGTTCTGAATCTCTGAAGAACGCTACGAACCTATCTCCGAGGCTGGCATCAGATTCAAGAATGGAGGCAGCGATGGAGAAGGAAATGGAGGCCATCGAGAAGAACAAGACTTGGATACTCACGGAGCTACCGCGAGGTTCTAAACCCATTGGTCTCAAATGGGTGTACAAGCTGAAGAAGGACAATGAAGGCAACATTCTCAAGTACAAAGCAAGACTTGTAGCAAAAGGGTACGTCCAGCAGCAAGGCGTGGACTTTGATGAGGTGTTTGCACCTGTGGCGAGGCTTGATACCATCAGAATAATCCTCGCCATATCAGCACAGAATGAGTGGGAGGTGCACCATCTGGATGTGAAGTCGGCATTCTTCCTAAATGGTGATCTCCAGGAAGAAGTGTATGTGGTTCAACCTGAAGGGTTCGTTGTGAAGAATCAAGAGCACAAGGTCTACAAGCTTTCAAAGGCACTCTACGGTCTACGCCAAGCACCTCGGGCATGGAACACGCGCCTCGACAAGTGCATGAAGGGCATCGGATTTGCAAGATGCACTCAGGAGCAGGCGGTATACACAAGGAGTAACAGAGGGGATACACTCATTGTTGGCGTGTACGTAGATGACTTGATCGTTACGGGCTCGAGGGCGGATGAGATAAAGTTTTTCAAGCAACAAATGATGAAGGAGTTCGAGATGAGTGACCTTGGATTGCTTTCCTATTATCTTGGTATCGAGGTGGATCAGCGAGATGATTGTATTGCACTAAGGCAGGCGGCCTATGCGAAGAAGGTTTTGGGTCAGTTCGGCATGATGGATTGCAACCCGACGCAATATCCTATGGAAACAAAGCTAAAGCTTGGAAAGGATTCTGAAGGAACACCGGTGGACGTGACGGAGTATAGACGCATTATCGGATCTTTGAGGTATCTAACTCACACCCGACCCGATATCACATATGCCGTGGGGATTGTGAGTAGATACATGGAGCACCCTACAGTTTTGCATAGACAGGTTGTCAAGCATATTTTGAGGTACGTGAAGGGTACTATGTCCTACAGATTGGTGTACAAACGAGGTCGAGGCAATGAAGAGTTGGTGGGATTCACTGACAGTGACCTTGCGGGAGATGTTGATGATAGGCGCAGCACAGGCGGCATGGCATTTTATCTAGGTGACAGTTTGGTCACTTGGACATCACAGAAGCAGAAGACGGTGGCATTATCATCCTGCGAGGCAGAATTTATGGCGGCAACTGCAGCAGCGTGCCAAGGCTTGTGGTTGAGGACTGCAGCAGCATGCCAAGGCTTGTGGTTGAGGAGTTTAATCAGCGAGGTGATTGGGAGTGAGCCCAAGCCGGTCACACTCTTCGTTGACAACAAGTCCGCGATTGCCTTGATGAAAAATCCAGTTTTCCATGGAAGAAGCAAGCATATCGACACACGGTTTCACTTCATTCGTGAGTGTGTTGAGCGAGGACAGATTAAAGTGGAGTTCGTGAGCACGAGCGAGCAGCGAGCGGATATTCTTACGAAGGCACTAGCGAGGGTGAAGTTCATCGAGATGCGGGAGCTTCTAGGAGTAAGGGACTTAGAGTCTAGTCCAGATTAAGGGGGAGAATGTGAGTTGTTAATCAGTCCTAGTTATAATAGAGTTCTAGTTAGAATAGAATACTAGTTAGGATAGTTTTTCTAGTTATTGGATAAGATTAGAGTTGTAATCTTATTCCTATATATATGTAAACAATCTTTGTAAGTAGTAGAACGTGAAATAAAAAGAAAACTCCAGAAAAGTTCCTGCCTCTCTCCTCTGTTCGTTCTCTCTTCTCTCTGTTTACAGGTTCTCTTTTGTGTTCACCAACAAATCAGATCCTGAGCTCTCAATTGGCTGTTGTTCGGTCCCAAAAGGAAAGGTCCCAGGCTCTGTTTTCGGCCAATAGCAAGTGCAGGAGCAGAGACACAAAACTTCCTGCAGTAAAGTCCCGTGGGTGGTTATTTGGTGTTCGGTTTCTCCAAAATCAGGTAAAGAAGCTTTGCTTTCAGGTTTTACAAAGCTTTCAGGTCTTGTATTTCGGGCCGATCCTATTGCAAAAGCCAACATCCATGTGATTTCTTTTTATTTATTCGTAAAATAGGCCTTCTTTTTGAACTTTTGGATTTCAATTTTTCATCTTATCCTTATAGGCCTTCATTTAATGCGAAATAGTGGCTTCTAATAGGATGCCCTGTGCCTGAGTGACTGCGTCGGATGTAGACTTCCCCATCTTAGTCACCTCTTAAGTTCTATATGAAGCTTCTCTTAGTGATTAAGTTCATTATTGACAAGAGACGAGATATTGATAAGTAACTCAGATTTATTTTTTTTATTTGTATTTTTTTATTTTTTATATGAATTTAAGACCATAAACCAATGTTTCTATGAGTTAAATGTAGACAACGTCGAATGTCAAGTTGCAACCTCCACGCCTTTAAAAGTTGGTACACCCATCGCTAAAGTTATTTATATCATCATGTGGAACAAACTGTTTGTAGCTTTCACGTCAGTAATTGTCTTACTACATTTATAATTTTTAAAATATGACACATTCAGGCCCCGTTTGGCAAAGAGTTAAGAAAGAGGAATTAAGGAGAATGATTAACATAGTTAGCCCATTCGATAATCTGAATGACTAAATTATTAACCCCTTATAAAAGTTTTATTTTAACCCTTATGATCATTTGAAGTGTTTGGGAATAATAAGGATTTTGACTAATTTTTTTTTTATAATTAGAAGGGTTAACTCTTAATCCTTCTAAATAGGAGTATTAGTAAACCCCTTATTTTGAGGGGTTAACTCATTTCAATCCCTCTAGAGGGGTTTGTTGGATATTTTATTAAAGAAAAGACAATTTAACATGTTTTACATATTTTATTTTCCTCAGCAATTAATACGTGCATAATGGCTATATATATAATTATGACGAACGTTACCATATTAATTACGGGTTTATTGCGTAACGGTCGACATTATGGCGTACGTTACTGTATTGATTGCTAGGATTTGTAACGGCTCTCTAAGACCCCTATATAAGTAGCCCTTCACATTCTCAGAAAAACAACAAGAAAAACAACAAGTCTCTTCTCTCCTCTTCATATTATTTTTTCATAGTATTGGTTTTATTTTTGGGCAACTTTCTTCATCTGAGCAGAAGCTCTGTACTCTCGCCCGAGTACAGAGGCCGGTCGATTCCGGGGGTTTTTACCGCTAGGGGAGAGGGGATCATCTGCGCTAGGGCGATAGGCGGGTCCTCAATCTTCTAGGACAGTGAATACACTACTGCTCCCGATCAGGCCAGATTTAATTATTTATTTTATTCGGATTTATTTCATGCTATAATCTTAATTATTTGACAAATTTCCAACAGGGTTAGCTTAATCCTTCTATATTTTTTATGTTTGGCAAATTATGGATGGTTAACTCACTTTAACCCTTGTATATATTTTTGTGTTTGGCGGGTTAAGAAGGGGTTAAGTCTCCTTAACCCCTCACTTAACCCTTCTAAACTGGTATATTACATTTTGAGCATTCCAAATAACGCACATGCTGAGATAATCAAATATAGCAACTTCATAAATACACTTACATGTGATGCAATGAAATAGGCAATGAGATTAAGCGCAAATCCCCACCAGATTGTTCCAAAGATGTAACCAGTGACCTTCTGCATCCTCCTCATTATACAAATACTGTGGTATACCTTGGGAAGAAATTGAAACAGGAACATCATCAAAAGTATTGACATTATGAGCTTAATTTGTTCTTCTCTTATCAGTTTTGGTACCACCAACCAGAATATTGCCTGAATGAAATAGAACCAACATGAATTAGTACTTGGAACCACAAAATTATGTACGGGAGATGTAGAAGAATTTATTTGCAATCAATAAACAGAGCAAGGCTGTAAATATCGAATATCGGGGAAATATCGGATGACTAATATTCATATCGGATTGCAGAAATCGGGAATATGTGGTAAATATCGGAATGCCGTAACGGATGTTTGCATATGTAGTATAACACACTAAAATGTAATTTCAACATACTTAGTGAAATCTAGGCATACAATAGATAAATAACATATGTTTAGGATCACTAATCAACCTTGTAAAACAAACAAAAGTACAAATCAAAGTTGCAACATTTCGTCTAATTTTTTTAGGCCAAAATGTCATTTGAAACTACAGGTGAAGCCAAATCTAGTCTTCTTTTTGTTGTTAGGATATTATGGAGATCTTCTAAGGCTCTGAAAAACATAGTTTTCATACAGTTGTAATGTTTTCTGTGCAGTAGCACAGCAGTCATTAGTTCGAAATCAAAAGACCTTCATAAAATATATTCATTGGGTTTAAACCCATTCGCATTTTAGCTTTATTAGTAAACTACCATAAACTTTCCCAAAAGTCGAAGTAGCAACAGAGTACAACACTGAGTATTCCGTTACCAGCCAAGGGAGTTCAAAATATTCTACCCTACAGGTATTTAATCTAGCATTCTAGCATCATTATCATATACGACTGTGGCGTACACACGTTTGTTTCATTTCCACTCGTACGCTATTGTTCCACAGGTCGCGGTCAGCGTACGAACCATAAACACGATACTCAAACAACATATCAAACATATGTTTTTTTTCTCAAAAATAATTTCAATCGCAAATAATATACATCTTGTAGTTTGGCAAGACGACACAAACAAAGCCCTCTGCACTTTACCAGTAATCAGAGTACATGCCTGTGTTTGTTCGGCTGAAAGCGCCAAGCGTTTGTTTGCTGCTGTTTTACAGCAAAAAAAATATCCCGCACAGATCAAAAACGTCTGGCGCTCCTCGTGATCTGTTTTGTTTGTACACGGTGGTACGATTAATGCTAGGATCACTAGCGAGCGGTCCAATTTTGTCCTGTGTTAACAAACACTTCCCCATTATGGGACCCAGTTTCTGTGAAGGGAAGCAGATGAGTCCCCTTCTCCGGACTCTATTATTGCGTTCCTCTCATGAGCCTGGACCAAACCCGGATCAAAACCTAGCTAGTTGGCTTGATTTGAGTTGGCCTCGGTCACGTTGAGACACCCAGGGTAAGTTTTGTGCATTCTCTGTGACCTAAGGCCGAACTTGATCTAGTTTAAGTTGCTATTTTTATACCTCGCTAGAATTATATATAATGATCATAAGATCTCTTCGAAGTTGCGTCACTTGCTTTTTTTATTCAACAGAAAACCTTAACACTCATTTAAATAATAAACTTACGTGATTAAAGAATTTATTTCTCCACTATCCGTCTGCTAGTAATTATGGGAAGAATTTGAATCCCAATTGTAGACTCACGGACTGCTTGGCTGAAAGATACGTAGTCATTTGTTAACTAGTAAACTTGGCCAACATGACAATAAAGTTACGCACTATGCGTATCTTTATCCAAATCACACTAGTTACATATATATTCATTCCAAGTATAGCTAACATACGCCTCCTACGACAATCATAGCATTCTCCCCTAATTAATGATACTACACAAACATTAGTTAATGATGCTATAATCATGATCTAAGTTAGTTTAATTAATTAATTGGTCAATTAGATGGTGATCACCTGAGGCACAGGGAGAATGACAAAAACATCGAACCAGAACCCCTTCACCGACCTCACATAATGCTCCGCGATCATCCTTGCATCCCACACCAGCTTCCGCACGAACCGAACCACCAGCGACTCCTCGACACGTACGCCATCCTCAGCTGCAGCCACAACGTGCGCCTACCTGCACCACGTCGCGCATGTGCGCAGCACCGTCACGATCACCGCCAGCCCTCCGTCCATGTACAAGCACGCGCCCCTCCCCGCCCGATCGACAGCGAGTAGAAAACAGCGGGTCGACAGCGAGGGCGACCGCCCGAGCCAAAAGGATAGCCCGTTCCATTGCGGACCCAGTTGCTTCTCGGGTCGAGCACCGACCCGAAGATCCATCCGCGCTGGCCCCGACGCGCGGTTTCGGCGGCGGGGGTTGTGGCGGATGGGGACTAGGGAGGAGCCGGCACTGGCCGACCACTCCGGGGATTGGGCCTGGTCACAGCTCGTTGAGTGGAAGGCCGGCACGCCGGCCTGCGTGCAGGCGTAGCATTCGGCGGCGGCGCAGGAACCGGCGGCTGCTCGGTGCTGGAGGGTTCGTGTCGTCTTCGTCGATGTCGGAGCGGGTTTTGTTGTGTCCGGAAGGATACAATGTGTCGGAGTTTGGAGAGAGTGGAGTGGAGTTTAGATAGCAGTGACATGTTTCTTTTCCCTCCTCTTCCATAAAATTACAGGAACGCATGAGAGAGAGAGTGATGACTGCGAGAAATGTTTGATGGCCGTGAAGGAAGGGAAGTGAGATATAAAGGCAGGGGTAGGGGTGGGGGTAGGGGGGGGGGGGGTAAGGGAGCTCATATGGCTGCCGAGGATGTATCGTTGATTCCACGGATGATTATTGGGAAGTGGGGCCCCCTGTCTAGGTGGTGTGGTTAACCGGGTGCCACGTGCGTGGCAGTCCACATGGGCCAGCGGCAGGGGCGAGCTCCTCGCTCACGTCTCCCTTGCAGAACGTAAATTTTATAGGATTTTTGATCGTCTCTGCGATTTTTTGCTAACTGACAAACATTTTCGGGGTAAATTCAGAAATTTCTTGGTGCATTATCTCAAAATCTCTTTCAGAGTATAGCTTCAGTATCATCTGATAAGCTACCGGCCTGCATGATTTCCGTTTTGATCATACACAGCAGGAGTGGGGCAACATGATTGAAACATTACGTGAACTACCTTGTAAATATTAGGAAAATTTGTGCCAAGGACTCAAAACCAAACCTCATGTGCTGCAGCCCCTTTGACTTTTTCCTATATGTTTTAGCTCTTAAATTGGAGATATATGTTATGCAACCCTTCTTTAGTAATAATTATTACCCGCCAACTACGCATAGAGAGAATCAAAAATAAAAACCCCAAAGTGTGCCCTTATCTCCTCTATTCTTTCATATTAAATCTAAAATCAAGTTGAATTAGACTTAACATGAAAGTCTAATTTCATGTGAAGTTTAATTTAATTCATGTTAAGTCTAATTTAATTCATTTCAAATCTAATTTAAATCATGTTATGTCTAATTCAACTTGTTTCAAGTCTAATTTAATTAATGTTAAGTCTAATTCAACTTGTTTTAAGTCTAATTTCATGTTAAGTCTAATTTAATTCATGTTAAGTCTAATTTAATTTCTTTTAAGTCTAATTTAAATCATGTTATGTCTAATTCAACTTATTTTAAGTCTAGTTTAACTGGACTTAACATGAAATTAGACTTAAGAAAAAGTTGAATAAACTTAATATGATTTAAATTAGACTTAAAAGAAATTTAACATGATTGTAATTAGATTTAAAATAAGTTAAAATAGACTTAACATAATTAATGTTAAGTCTAATTAAACTTGTTTTTAGACTTAAAATAAGTTGAATTAGACATAACATAATATAAATTAGACTTAAAACGAATTAAATCAGACTTAACATAAACCAAATTAGACTTAACATGAACCAAATTAGACTTAACATGAATCAAATTGGACTTAATATGAAATTAGACCTAAAACAAGTTGAATTAGACTTAATGTGTTTCATGTTAAATCTAATTCAACTTGTTTTTAGACTTGAAACAAGTTAAATTAGACATAACATTATTTTAATTAGATTTAAAAGAAATTAAATTAGACTTGACATGAACTAAATTAGATTTAACGAGAAATTAGACTTAAAACAAGTTGAATTAGACTTAACATGATTTAAATTGGACGTAATATAAATTGAATTGGACTTAACATGAACCGAATTGGACTTAATATGTAATCCAGGTTAAGTCTATTTCATTTTATTTTAAATCTAATTTCATGTTAAGTCCAATTTAAATTTGACTTAAAATAATTTAAATTCGACTTAAAACTATTTAAATTAGACTAAAAATGATTTAAACTAGACTTAACACGAACCAAATTGGATTTAACACGAATCAAACTGGACTTAACATGAACTAAACTGGACTTAAAACTAAACTGGATTAAAATTAGACTTAAAATGAATTAAATTAAATTCAACATGAATCAAATTAGCCTTAACATGAAATAAAATTGGACTTAACATGAAATTAGAGTTAAAATAAGTTGAATTAGACATAACATGATTTAAAATTAGACTTAAAAGGAATTACATTAGACTTAACATGAATTAAACTGGACTTAATATGAATCAAATTGGACTTAACATAAAATTAGACTTAAAACATGTTAAATTAGACTTAACAACTTAACATAAAATTAGACTTAAAACATGTTAAATTAGACTTAACATGATTCATGTTAACTCTAATTCAACTTATTTTAATTAGACTTAACATGATTCATGTTAACTCTAATTCAACTTATTTTTAGACCTAAAACAAGTTGAATTAAACTTAACATGATTTATATTAGACTTAAAAGGAATTAAATTAGACTTAACAAGAATCAAACTAGACCTAACATGATAGATCTGGAGAGAACGAAGGAGGAGGAAATGAGGGTATTTTGGGCTTTTATGTTTGTTTCTCTCTTTTTTTCTTAGTTGGCATGATAATTACAAGAAAAAGGACTGTAGCACATGATGTGATATTTTTAGGGCTGAATCACATGGGAAAAAAGTGGAGGGGCTGCAAGACATGAAAGTTTTAGTTTTAGGGCCTTGACACAATTTTTCCTAAATATTATGTTTAAAGGCATTAAAAATCTGTAATATCATTATTCGAATGGATTCAAATTAGTCAGTTCAGAACAACAAACAGAGACTCGTTAACAGCTAAAAGCACCCTAGAGGAGGGTGAATAGGGTTTATGCTAATCTAATCCGACATTAATGTCAATTAAAAACTAATTAATAAATATATCCTAGCAAGAATGATATACAACAATTATATGTAAGGATATACAATATAAACAAGGGAAAAATAGCATGAACCTATGGCGATATGAAATATAACAAAGCACAAAAAAATACGCAAAGGCAAACTCAAACACAAGGAAATGATCACGGAGTTTGGTCCTTTCGACCTACGTCTCCGTTCCCCACTCCCGGGGAGAATCCACTACACAACCGGGTTTTCGATGCTCACCCAAAAAATGTTTACACCTCACAAGTTTGGTTTTCTAGCTCACCGAAAACTCTACAATCTCACACTCTTGCAATCACACTCTACACCCTCTAAGTGTTGGTCTCTAGCCCGTGTCCTTTCTTAAGTGCTCGGATTTATGACATCTCTCTAGGCTTGACTACCGACGCCACTCCTCTTAAAACTAACCCCGTCTGTCACCACATATTTCTCTCGGTGTACAAGTGTATTACAAAGTGATCTCACAATAAAGCTCAAATTACAAATATTTGATCTCTAAACATGGTGAGAACTCAATTAAGCCCACACTCAAGAACCACTCATCACAACCCAAATTATACAATGTATGAAATACTAAAAGCTCAAAGATTGTGTGTGTTCAAATGAGTGAAATAAAAACTAAACTCAATATAAAATCTAGCTTAATGAAAAGATAATCAACAACAATTATATGTAAAGCTAGAAATTGAGTTTAGAGAAACTTCTCTGAAAAACAAGAGTGAAAGAGATGAGGGATTGAAGCTCAAACACCAAAGGATGATCTCTTCTAGCTCTTGTGAAAATTTCTTCGCAAACCAAATAAACACTAAAACAAATTTAAACAAATCTTAAACTCTTGTAAACTTGTTTTAAACCTTTCTTTTTGGTAGTTCAAAATAGTTATGGCAAAGGGGTATATATAGGATTAAAACCAAATCTCAAAAACCAAGAAAACCCATAAAAAAGACAAAAAAAACAAAAAGCTAAAAAAACTAGCCGTTACAGACGTCGATCGACTGATGATTAGTATCAGTAGACTGATGAGCTGACCATTACAGATAGCTCACAGCTTATCGGTCGACTGAAGATCTCATCAGTCGACTGATAAACTCATCAGTCGATTGATAGTTCATCAGTCGCAAAAGCAGAAACTTTTACACTTTCCAGACAATTTCTTCAGTCGACTGATCTCATGCATCAGTCGACCGATAACACAATATCAGCCTGTTTTGAATAGTAAAAATAAATTTCAAACCTCTTTCAAAATTAGCAAATAAATTCTAAAAATTATGAAACTTTGAGAAATGCTTGAAAACATGAAAATGAACATGTTACAAAAAAAAATTTTAAATTGCATCTCCCAATTGTGAAATCTCATCATTTTACAAAATAGTCCAAAACATGAAAACACAACAACACATGTTTTTTGACAAAATGACTTAAACAAACTCTTGAAATATTTTGAATGGATTTATAGACTTTGGAAAAGATATAAAATGGTATAAACAAGTCTTAAATCCATAAACACATAATTATGCAAATAAACTTCTTTAACCCATAAATGAAATCATGTTTATTTGCATGTATAGATATGAAACAAATACGTATATATATATATATATATATATATATATATATATATATATATATGTGACTAAACATATTGCTAAGCAAAATCGATAAATATGAATGTGTATATATGTAAACAAGTATATATGTTTCATATTTATAAAAACGTGAAAACTATGAAGCCAAAAACAATGTGTGTGTGTGTGTGTGTGTGTGTGTGTAATATG